TAATTATAGTTTTATCAAACTTCATATGCTAATAGTAAATTCATACTGATGTAAGCTTTTCAACTGCAACAACATTTTGGCCCAAACCTTTCCTTTGACCTCTCTTTTTTTTAGAATAGGTGTTAAGCTCAGCTTCATTAAATCATTCAAGATATTTTTATCAAACATAATATGCTGATATGTATTAGTGAAGCTACTCACCTGCATCAAAAACTTCACCTTGCACATTCCTGTGACCTTGACCTCCATCCTTTTTAATTTGTATTTCGCTTAGTTTTAAAGAAATGATTTAAGACATTTTTAAAACGTCATATTTCGACCCCAATTTGACTCCCCAGGGCAAAATCAAAATTCCAAAACCCTGCTGTACATCAACATGACACTACCAACCATCTCCTAAAAGTTGATTAGGCTACTGTGTAAAATGTAAGAGGAGTTCAGGGAAGACGGGGCTTTTTGCATAAAAAACGTCATATTTCGACCCCCATTTGACTCCCCAGGGCAAAATCAAAATTCCAAAACCCTGCTGTACATCAACATGACACTACCAACCATCTCCTAAAAGTTGATTAGGCTACTGTGTAAAATGTAAGAGGAGTTCAGGGAAGACGGGGCTTTTTGCATAAAAACGTCATTTTTCGACCCCCATTTGAGCCCCCGGGGCAAAATCAAAATTCCGAAACCTTACTGCACATCTACATGACACCACCAACCATCTCCCAAAAGATGATTAGCCTACTGTGTAAAATGTTAGAGGAGTTCAGGGAAGACGGGGCTTTTTGCATAAAAACGTCATTTTTCGACCCCCATTTGACCCCCCGGGGCAAAATCAAAATTCCGAAACCTTACTGCACATCTACATGACACCACCAACCATCTCCCAAAAGATGATTAGCCTACTGTGTAAAATGTTAGAGGAGTTCAGGGAAGACGGGGCTTTTTGCATAAAAAACGTCATTTTTCGACCCCCATTTGACCCCCCGGGGCAAAATCAAAATTCCGAAACCTTACTGCACATCTACATGACACCACCAACCATCTCCCAAAAGATGATTAGCCTACTGTGTAAAATGTAAGAGAAGTTCAGGGAAGACGGGGCTTTTTGCATTAAAAACGTCATTTTTCGACCCCCATTTGACCCCCCGGGGAAAAATCAAAATTCCGAAACCTTACTGCACATCTACATGACACCACCAACCATCTCCCAAAAGATGATTAGCCTACTGTGTAAAATGTAAGAGGAGTTCAAGGAAGACGGGGCTTTTTGCATAAAAAACATCATTTTTCGACCCCCATTTGACCCCCCGGGGCAAAATCAAAATTCCGAAACCTTACTGCACATCTACATGACACCACCAACCATCTCCCAAAAGATGATTAGCCTACTGTGTAAAATGTAAGAGGAGTTCAGGGAAGACGGGGCTTTTTGCATAAAAAACGTCATTTTTCGACCCCCATTTGACCCCCCGGGGCAAAATCAAAATTCCGAAACCTTACTGCACATCTACATGACACCACCAACCATCTCCCAAAAGATGATTAGCCTACTGTGTAAAATGTAAGAGGAGTTCAGGGAAGACGGGGCTTTTTGCATAAAAAACGTCATTTTTCGACCCCCATTTGACCCCCCGGGGCAAAATCAAAATTCCGAAACTTTACTGCACATCTACATGACACCACCAACCATCTCCCAAAAGATGATTAGCCTACTGTGTAAAATGTAAGAGGAGTTCAGGGAAGACGGGGCTTTTTGCATTAAAAACGTCATTTTTCGACCCCCATTTGACCCCCCGGGGCAAAATCAAAATTCCGAAACCTTACTGCACATCTACATGACACCACCAACCATCTCCCAAAAGATGATTAGCCTACTGTGTAAAATGTAAGAGGAGTTCAGGGAAGACGGGGCTTTTTGCATTAAAAACATCATTTTTCGACCCCCATTTAACCCCCCGGGGCAAAATCAAAATTCCGAAACCTTATTGCACATCTACATGACACCACCAACCATCTCCCAAAAGATGATTAGCCTAATATGTAAAATGTAAGAGGAGTTCAGGGAAGACGGGGCTTTTTGCATAAAAAACGTCATTTTTCGACCCCCATTTGACCCCCCGGGGCAAAATCAAAATTCAGAAACCTTACTGCACATCTACATGACACCACCAACCATCTCCCAAAAGATGATTAGCCTACTGTGTAAAATGTAAGAGGAGTTCAGGGAAGACGGGGCTTTTTGCATAAAAAACGTCATTTTTCGACCCCCATTTGACCCCCCGGGGCAAAATCAAAATTCAGAAACCTTACTGCACATCTACATGACACTACCAACCATCTCCCAAAAGATGATTAGCCTACTGTGTAAAATGTAAGAGGAGTTCAGGGAAGACGGGGCTTTTTGCATTAAAAACGTCATTTTTCGACCCCCATTTGACCCCCCGGGGCAAAATCAAAATTCCAAAACCTTACTGCACATCTACATGACACCACCAACCATCTC